ATCTATCTATCTATCTATCTATCTATCTATCTATCTATCTGTCTGTCTGTCTGTCTGTCTGTCTGTCTGTCTGTCTGTCTGTCTGTCTGTCTATCTATCTATGTATCTGTATCTATCTCTCTCTCTATGAGCGTGACATGAATCAGCCCATTTACAAATCTACTGTGTTTGAACGAGAAATGTCCCCCCCCTTTGGGAATGGCCTAAAGACACTACTGTCAGTGGCATTGCCCCGGGGGGTGGAGAGAGAAAGAAAGAAAGAGAGAGAGAGAGAGAGAGAATGTGTGTGTGTATGTGTGTGTGTGTTTGTATGTGTGTGTGTGTGTATGTGTGCGTGTGTGTGTGTGTGAGAGAGAGAGGGAGAGAGAGAGTGTGTGTGTGTGTGAGAGAGAGAACGAGAAAATAAAGGGGGGGGGCGGGGCTGTCAGATAAGAACTGTCTATGAACAAAACAAAAACCAAACTTAGTTGTCTTGCCGAGTAAGAGAGAGAGGGAGGGAGAGAGAGAGATTGTGAGAGAAGAGAGAGAGACGTAAATATTTGTAGCAAAACATTTAGGGATGACAAAGATTTTCGGCTGTGGAAAAAAGAAATCGAACAGGAGACATCATCCCAATATATTCAAACCAGAGCATCCAAAAGTACTAGTCAATCCATAATCACATATTATTATTGCCATAGATCTGGAATACAAAGATTTGTTGCAGACCGTAAGCAATCCAGAAAGTCACAAGGATCTTCTAAAACAGGTGATAAATGTACTGCTTTCATTATTGCGTGTAAAAATGCTTTGGATATGAGATTGAGAGAGATTGAGAGAGAGAGAAAAGAGAGAGAGAGGGGGGGAAGTAAAAGAGAGAAAGAAAGAGAGAGATAGTGTGTGTGTGAGAGAGAGAGAGAACGACAAAAAAAGAACGAGAGAGAGGGAGAGAGAGAGAACGAGAAAAAAAAGGGGGGGGTGGCTGTCTGATAAGAACTGTCTATAAACACACAAAAATCCAAACCTAGTTGTTTTGCTGAGTAAGAGAGAGAGAGAGAGAAAGATTTCAATTCATCATAAGATTACTATCACTTACCAATCTGATGAATTGTTAGTGTGCGTGTGTGTTTGTGTATGTGTGTGTGTGTGTGTGCATTAATGTATATTGCATGAGAAGAAAGGAAGTAGTAAGAAATGTTTTTGAAAAATGGGTGTTCCAATGTAAAGTGCATTGAGCTACATTTTTGGAAATGGGCTATATAAATGTTATACATTATTATTATTATTATTATTATTATTATCATATTATTATTAGCAGAAGTAAGGCTGCAACGGAACGCTTTACCTATAATTGCTAGAAGAAGCAATAATCGAAAAGAGCTGAATGTGCAGGCTTCATCACAACAAAAACTATAAAACAACAAATTATAATTATGGGGGGGAAAATTTGGTCAGTCGGGAGGAGGAGAAGGGAGGAGAAAAGAAAAAAAAAACACCTTCCGTACCTGGGACTTGAACCCACGCTCGAAGACTTCATATGCAAACACGCTGTCCATTCGGCCATCACAACTCTCAACAAGATTGGGTAGATTAAGCTTCATATATTTACAACACTGTTTCAGAAGTTTTCGAACTGCTAAAACTGGAATCATAGGCCTAACACAATATTCACCACTAGCCTACCCCAGCCAATCAGAGCACCACTAGCGCCTGGCTGACGGGCTGCAGCAAGCCGCAAGTATTAAGTACGGCTAGACTTGAAGTCTAGCCGTACTTAAGTACGACTAGACTGGAAGTCTAGCCGTCATTAAGTACGGCTAGCCACTTCGAAAAACAATACCAATGCAAAGGGCTCAATAACACGATTCCAACGCTACCTTAGTTATTGCTCTATGTTGAACGGTTTTTGAGATATGGCATTTTAAAGATATTTTCGAGGCGAAAAAATATGGTAGCGTCAATTGCCACCAGACCGAGTGACGAGGTGGCAATTGACAAAAATTGACCTTTTGTCAATTGCCACCGAGTGAAGAGGTGTCAAGTCTGAAAACAACACTATCTTTAAGCATTATACATGATAATTTGTGTCTAATGGGTCAATTTGTTCTCAACTAATTTCATAGGACGAACATCTAGTGTAGAGCTACAATACCAACTCGGCATGTTTTCAATGAGACATAGAGGCCTAGATCTAGGCTAGCCTTAGCCCACACTTTTGTGTAGAACCAACACAGGCAATTCTAGAAGTAGAAGGGCACAAACGCACACAAACTCAAGCAGAAATTCACGTTATATCGGGGAACATAAATCGGGGGACGGGGGTCAGGAAAAGACACACACAAACACACACACACAGACACACGCACACAGAGAGGGACAGAGAGGCGAACGCACAACACCGAGCACTCAAGCTGCCTCAAGCACAATAAGGTAGATCTACCCACCAACGCAAAAGACTCCAATTTACTCTGTAGCAATTGACAAAAAGTCAATTTTTATCAATTGCCATCGCGTCACTCGGTGGCAATTGACACTACCAAAAAATATACACATAGAAAAAAAGGCAATTTTTGTGATTGAAACAGCAAGAAAAATAACGGAAATGTTAGCTGCTTATTCAATATGCTGCTGCGTACATGCAAAAACCAAACATTTTCTGAAACCTTGTGATGTTGAGGACAAAATAACAGTCAGATGAGATTTTAAAAATATATCGTGCAGGGCAATATTGGGTAATATTATGCAACACTGTGTTACGTAACGTGACCGCATCGTTCTGCGGTCAATATATTTTGCCATAACTTTCTTATAAATTAAGCTACAACAATAATTGAGGTATCGTATTGAATGTCTTTTTAAGGCCTTTCTTTGGGAACATCTAACATGTCATATATCAGCAGAATTTACAAAAAAGACTGATTAAAAAATAAAATATATATTAACAAAACAGCAGGTCGCCTAAAATAAGATCAGCAGAAAAGTTTTTAAAGTGAACATTTGTGTCTACAGCTGCTGTAAACTAGTGTTTGTAGTCTACCTTAATTAATGATAATACTGTTTTTAAAATTCATTTTGCATGTTATTGTTAGAATGTTTCTTTCATGTTTTAATTTGTCATGTAAATGATCAATTACTCTGTCTTTATCTTTGATTTCTCTTTTACATCTTTGACTCATGAGATTGCCCTGTAAGTTAAACAATAGTATCTTCTAATTTTATTACTTCTGTTTGTTCAGCAAGTTTGACAATTAGTTGTGAAATATGTTTTTGAGGCATGCAATTGTGTCACGATACTTATTTATTCTTTCTTTATTCCTGGCAATTGTTTAGTTTACCCTGTCTGCCAACTTGATATTGTGTTAAATTAATGCCAAGATTTCTTTCTTGTCTGCAACAAATGCTTTCTTAAGCACTCAATTTTTTACAACTTGTTCGAACAAGTTTTTCTTTGAATTCGACCAACTCCGTAAGCATTTCAGGATTTTAAAGTAAAGTCATGATTTATTCAGGTGAGCTGTCAATAAATGCAATGGAACAGTGGCAGGTTGTGATCAGGGGCTGTGGAAAGAAAAAAAAAGCAAAGCAATGAATTCATCAATGAAGTAAATAAATTCATTTGTGAGCAGTGGATGGAAATTTGACATTTTCACACTACAACTCTAGTAGAGAGAGGTTGTGGGACATGACTAGACAATAGAAAAAACATCTTTTAATAAACATGTATCTTAGAACAAACTGCACAAAGTAAGTGAAAATTTAAAGAGATATTTAAAGAACAAGCACACACAAAAAAAATCAAGAAAAAAAAAGATTTAAAGACAATATAAGCACACAAAAGAAGTAAAAACTTGCGTGAAATCAATGGTCTAACAGTAACACAGAAACAAAACAAGGCTGTTACATTTCCCTCCCCTCCCCCACCCAATACTCCTTACTGATTGTTACATGGTGCAAATTCATGAAAATTATACAACAGTGATACATATTATATTCCAAAATTTAAAATAAATCATAACTTCTACTATAAAACATTCTTCAATGCTGTTTAAGGGGTAATAAACGCCAACAGTACACGTTAGCGTTGGTTAAGTTCGCTTTCCGTAATGGCCGCCATGACCTCCCGGTTGACGTTCAGCAGCGCGATCGATAATTGGTCATGCCAATTCATAGAGAGTGACCTATTTAAATTAGGGCTCACAAACTTATGCCTTAACGTACAACATTGAAATTAACAAATGAAAGAGATAAAAGGTTGAAGAAAACATTGTGAGAAGTACGTAAAAAAAAAAGATATACTCTTTAAATATAAAGGCTTGAACTTACCTTATTTTCAACTCCTTGTAACTCCGAACACACACAACCGATCCCGAAGTGGAAAACGTCATAATACGCGCCTTTCTTTTCTCTAAAATTTGATAGGCAGAAGTAATCCATAAATTGAAAAGAACACTATAAACGAAACAAAACAAATAGGTACCCGCCTCACGGGGTCCGATTTCTCACTCAAAACGCGAGCCGGCGAACGAAAATCTCAGGCCGCGCGGGCCGATATCCAAGTGCCTAGCCATGTGTCATCTTGTCCAGTATCTTTTCCCTCTGTCTGCCTCTACCTCTCTTTCCATCAAACTTGCCTGTTGTTACAATATTATATGCTTCTTCAGTGGTGTAGGCTAGGCCTAAATTCCCCCTTGTTTGTCAGCTGTACATTCATGGCCACATTTATTGTTTCAAGCATAGGTTGGAACTCCTCTGTATCAGACTGTGTAGTTTCACTGAAGCCTTCTGTTCTTACAAGTTAGATTGTTGGGATTTGTTTACATCTGATCTCTCTACGTAGATCTACGCTTGTTTAGATTGAAGTAAGTGATATAAATTGTTATTAACCCTACTCTGTTTGTGCTGCTTGGATCACTTGAACAGTATGATGATTTTAAAATTATACTTATAATTTGCTTCCTTTGCAGGTTGGATCCCTGAACGGAGTTCATTGGTGAAGAGTGCCGAGCATAAAAATGAAGTGACAATCTTTAAAAAACGTCAATACCAAGACCATTGTAACAGCACAGCGGTAGAGTCGGCATCTTGGCCATTTGGAAGATTTTGAAAAGACAACAGGACTCATGTCCACCTCATCAGAGCAGATGTCTGTGGTACGGAGAGTTTTTTTCCAAGTTGCTTTTGTGTGCTAGGTTTTATTCATCTAATTAACCACATAACAGTCATTATATTTTTTTCATGTTGTTTTTGTTGTTTTGAACAGTTACAACCTGCGCAGACATTGATTTTAGTTAGTGCTTTGACTACTTTCCTGTTTTTATTGAAAATTTTTTCTACTTTGTACTTTTCTCCCCTTTTTGTTTTCAGCCAGTGGAAGAAAAAGAGAAATGATGAAAATAACTAAAAATTTGAGCTGATTGGGTGGGGGTGGGAACAGTCTTACTGTCATTTTGACCCTATTGTCAAAAAATATTTTAACATAGAATGCTTATTATGACTAATGCCTTCAGGAAAGGTAAGCCCTTATCACCGTACAAATTTATCTTAATGACTCTCATTGTATTTAAATCGAATGGTCTCATGTTTCAGAGCCCAGATGCTATGTCTGCCTCACCATCGCCTTCCCCTCCTCCCCGACCAAGTACTGACGGTCGTCAGCTTCCCAGCATCCCGAGCTCTGTGCCTTACAACGCCGGCCCTCCCTCCGCAGCCAAAGGGAACAGCCTGTCCAACAACAACAGAGGCAGCAATGGTTACGGGCCTTTCTTTCAAGAATACTCTCTGCTAGCAGAATAGTGAGTTTTGTACACCAGAACTATCACTGATGCTTCATCAGCCAGAACAAAATTTGTTCATTTGCACGAATGTTGAAGATAGAAAAAATAAAGGATTATTCAAACAAACATATTATTTGATAAATTTTCAGTACGAAACAGATCAGTTAAGTGGACTGTGAAATGGTAGTCCAGTTAAACTTATGATAAATATTGGCTTGTTTTGACCATTCAGGACATATGATTTAAGTCTTCAGCTGTCTTGTAATTATTTATTCGGCAAAGGCTCTTTTTGTTGGCACGGTAAACTAGTAGGTTGTTGTCTGATATCTAGTCAAAATTGAACAAGAATCTTATTGTTTTTCCCTTACTTTTCCTAGCCCGAAGCAGACCTTAAAGTGAAGTATGGGGATATGAGTATCTTCATCATCTAGATATGCCTTCAGTAACTAGACTTCTAATGTAGTTCTTTGCTTTCTGAGGGCTACGGGTCTTTTTGAAGGTACTTGAAATTATTGTACTGACTGAAGTTTCTTCAGGGTTTAGACGCTAGTGTCATCTTATCGCGTGTATCTGAATTCTTTTCAACAGCAACCAGCTACACCAGCAAAAAATACCTGGACTGTATGTCATGCCTTGTGCAAAGACACCTCTTGGTAAGCTTTTCATATGGTTGAAGGGAAAGAGAAATGGGGAGGATTGAATTGTCGTAATTGCCACAAAGTGTCAATGAGATCAGCGCATTGATTTTAATTGTAATGATCTCTGTATAGTATTGATTGTGAAGCGCTTAGAGCTTGCTGATGAGCGGGGATTTGCGCTATACAAATGCTATCTATCTATTATTTTTATTATTGTTATAATTATTACGAACTTCCCACCTGGCTCGGTGGTATCGGATATAGACGTTAAACTAGGAGGTCCCGCCCCTTAAATAACCTAATAGTGTTGATGGGACGTTAAGCCCATGCCATTTAAAAGATTATTATTATTATAGCTGTTGGAAAATGAGTGTTTTTGCTAAACTTATCTAAAGGCTTTTATCCTAATTGATGTATTCAGATTGAAATGCTCAAGTGGAAGAGTTTGTTGAAAAAGTGATATTGCAGTCTTGTGAGTAGCTTTCGTTTGCTGATTCCTATCGTGGTTTTGACCCCTTAAGTGTTTATAGATTGCTTTCCTGTACAAATTTTTATTGTAGCTTTGGTTCCTGAAGCATTTATGAACTGGCAGACTTGCTTGATGGAGTGACTTATACTTATAATGTTTCCAACTAAATTCCCTCTGGATCAGTGGGAATCAGGTTATTTTACATCCTAGATGGCAGTGAAGGTTGATTTTAGAGGATGCTGCTTATGAATTTTAAATGGGTTTTCAATAACCTTAGAAGTTCCTCAGGCAGGTTCAGTTTGTGTTTCTGTAACACATGAATTTGACATCTGTGATGGTATTTTCAAACCTGTAATCTCATGTATCTTCACAGTATGGAGTGGCCTTCTCTTCATCAGACAAGGCTTGTATCAGGGTGGGGCTTTCCGATTCACTCTCACCATTCCAGACAATTACCCCGATGGGGACTGTCCGGTAAGTTTTTACATAAATCAGGTATCAATTTGAGAAGACAAGCTCATTTTAAAATTACGTGTTAAAAAATTTTGGTTGTTTAGGAAAGGGTTTTTATCTTGATCCAGAATTGCTATATAGCTTCCAATTTCTTTTCTGCTTATGCTGCTAAATGTGTTTTTATTACCAGCTGGAGGAACTACTAGGTACTCTTATTCATCACTGCTTTTGAAACATTTGTATCCCCATGGAGTTATCAGAAATCTTAACTCCACTTAACTAGTTTTATTTTTCTGGGAACATACCAATACAGCTGTTGTTTAAACATTTGTTAGTCGTTGCATTGAATATTGAGAAAACCTTGCTGTCTTTATTGCAATCTCTTTTCACAACAACTTATTAAATCCTACTTTTGCATAATTGCAAATGTTTTTACCTCTGATCCCTACAGCTTTAAGAAAAAATTGATGCCTTTGCATGTGATCATTGTGCTGGTGAAAATATCCTTGTTTCACTCCTGCATTAGCATTGACTTTCACTATTTTGATGTTATCTTATACCTGCAATATCTGCCATTTGTGAAATGTTGGGGTAAAAAATCTTTCTTTTTACAATCAGTAACATGGTTTGGAAAAATGCTATATATAAAAACTTGCGAGCTCTTTGTGTTGGGCTGAAGTGATTGTACAGTATGTATTTCTCTAAATTCCTTGTCAACATTTTGTTTTGCCTCCTCTCCAGAAATTTGTATTTGAATATCCAGTCTTTCATCCGTTAATTCACCCAGAGACAGGCGAAGTGGACATCAAGAGAGCTTTTCCCAGATGGAGGTCAGTCTCTTTCTTGCAGCTTAGACTTGCTGCTAAAGTTGTTTTTTTTTTGGTCATATCGATGTGTTCAGATTTAGTGCCTTACTCGACTCTGTCTTGGTCGTTTTAAAATAAAGTTATTGAAAATGCGGAGGGATATGACAAAATCATCTGAGAAGGATGAGAGAATGTGCGCTGTATTTAATGGAAATATATATTAACCTGGAACATTTAAGTACTGGTCAAGTTGGTAATTAACCCCGACTTTGTCTTCTATGTATCTAACATAATATGATGATAAATCATTTTTATAATTTGAATGTCTGAGACTATGTTTTGTCTCACTGATAGTGCCCTTGGATGTCATCTCAGTAAAAGAGGTAATTATGCTTTGCGCTATTTTACTGAGCATTTTATTTTCCACTCCCATTTTTCCCTCAATTTTTAGGAAAATTGCTTGTGTTGTTGAAAAGTGATTACGATGTCTTTTGGTAATAATAAGTAATTATGCTTAATTTTCAAAATCAGTTAACATTATTGTGGTTATTGACTGACCAACACCTGCAGGTGTGTTGTTTTTGTTGGATTATTCAAAACGGGTGTCTGTAGTGTAGGGGTTAAGTTCTTTGCCATTGCATGCAGAAGACCTGAGCTCAATTCCCGAGTGTGGAGAGTTTTTATAGAGAATCAGTCTTTCTGCAGGGACACTGAAACCCTCTGAGACCAGGTTGGCCCTGACAGGCATGGTTGAAACCTGCCTTCTAAATGATCAAAACTGTTTTGAAGGGGGCGGGAAATAACCTTCTTTAAAAACTAAATAACTGTTGCTGAGTCGATTGGCTTCTCTTTACTGTAAAAAACTATAATGAACAATCTGAAAGTAAGTTCGTTGTATCAGACTACCAATGCAGCATTTCAGTCACTTACACCAAGCATGGTTGCCTTTGGTCACCATGTTTAAAAACAAAGACACAATAGCATCCTCACAATTGGTCTTACACAGCAACAGAGAGATGGACCTGGAGATATGAACGCATTTTCTTCCCAGTCTTGGTAGAAAATACCAGAGTTAAAATGCTTGTCCCATATTGTTTTTAGCTCACTCTCTCTTTTTTTGGTCTGTTCAGGAAAAACGTGAACCATCTGTGGCAAGTGTTCTTATATGTGAAGAAAATCTTCTACAAACTGGAAGTCAAGTCACCGTCCAACCCTGAAGCAGCAACTTTGTATGTAGCAAACATTCTCATTTTCTCATGCAGATTACATAACCTTTCTAAGTTGTCTCTGTTCTGTGATGTGAAGTCGGGTAGGGGAGGAGGGTGGCGAGATTTGGTTATCTTCCCCTTTCCTTATTTCTTGTGCAGCTCATTAATACAAAAAAATTATTTTTTGGTCTTATGAAGTTTAACCCTTGTATACGTTTAAAAAGCCCTTCCAAAATTCAAGATACATTATATTGCCCAGGTTGGTGGGCTGTGGGCTCTTTTGTACTGGTACGGTTTTGTCTCAGCTTCGATTATTGCCTTAGTGGGGGGTTGGTGTGTGCTCTGGTGTGGTTTGCTCCTTCTTTCCTATCAACATCTATCGTCCTTATATGTCCGTCTTTTTTGCGTTTGTTACTCACTTTTTACACCTCTAATCTTCAGCACTTATATGTCCTAATTGTGTTACAAGTGCCTAAAACTTATTAAAACTAAAAGTTCACAATGCATTATTTTGCACAGTTTATGCAGGTGGTTAGTTGGTGAGCAAGGAGCTCTTCTTAGTTTTGTTTATTGCTCATGCCCTATTCTGTTCCTGGGAAAATGTGGCTGTATCATACTGACCCACTGTATATTAGAATTATAGAAGAGATATATTATGTACACCTTCTCCACTGTTCTGCTTTTCTCTCTGTCTCTGTTGATCTCTCTCTCTCTCTCTCTTTCTCTCTCTCTCTCTCTCTCTCTCTCTCTCTCTCTCTCTCTCTCTCTCTCTCTGTGGGTGGTTGGTGGGTGCTCTGGTGTGGTTTGTTTCTTCTTTCCCTTCAAACATCGATCGTCCTTATCTCCCCTTCTTTTTTATGATTGTTACTCTCTTGTAACACCTGTAATCTTCTGGCGCTTATATGACCATATGCAGTTGTGAGCTCCGTAAAACCTCTACTATAAAACTTTCTCTCTCTCTCTCTCTCTCTCTCTCTCTCTCTCTCTCTCTCTCTCTCTCTTTCTCTCTCTCTCTCTTTCTCTCTCATCTCCCCCCCTCCCTCTCTTTCTCACTGATTATTCGCAACAAAAGACCTAAAAATCAGCATGGCTCGTTTGGTATCATAACTCGTGATGCAGATGGCCACCCTGATTTGAATTCTCAATGGATCTTTTTAAAAATTTGGTTGTCTTAAGAATTTTCAAGACTATTCATCTGTTTGACCAGATAGACGTTACAGTCAGAGGTCCAGTCCCTTAAAAAAGCTGGCAGTGTTAACAAACACTTTGTGGTCACTTGACACAATAATGCAACAGGGAAAATTATTTCTTCCAGTCACCTGGCGCAGTCAGGCCCGAGAAGTCCGTTTCACTCACTCTCCTGGCTATGTGACCAGATGGGGTATTTTATTTTGTACTGCTGAATGTGTGACTGCAAAGTGTTAAATAGAACATTATACCCGCACTGTGCCATGCTACGGAAATTTTTTTGGCTAAAATTTCTCTTTCTGTCTCCTTAAAAATACTGTCTACTATCAGTCATGTTGATAGTGTTATACTGTATGGTGCAACTGGTTTCTAGAAAAATTGCCCTTTCTTGGGGGTAGAAGTGTTTTACAGCGCTTGCAACTGCATTAAGTCATACGAGTCATTTTCAATTTACAAAATAACCAAACTCTTGATTCATATGATTTAAATGATGAGAAAATACACAACATTTTGTGCTTTCTTACCATTAAAAGTGTGCATGCTGGCCCTTGATTTTGATTGAGGACCGGCTGATGGACCTCGACAAAGGTTTTAGAATAAGAAAGTTGAGACCTATTTCTTCCAGTGACACAGTAAGAGCATGAGCATAACACCATATGTGTATTACATTTCTCTGTATCCTCCAGATATGACCAGGAGATGGAGATGTTTAAGAACCGAGTCTCTGACTCTCTCAAAGAGGCGAAAGATAGACTGCTACAGCCACCTAATTTAGAAGACCCTTTTGCCCTGAGGTGAGTATTGTTTTCTCGATGGAGTGGTCACTTCATATGAGCAATAATTACAAAACTAGTGTATTTGGCCCCAGAAGTTTATACCAAATGCTTAATGGAAGACGCCGCTTTATGCCATTTGAAAAGTGATGTAATATGGAGTCTTACGCTGAGCAGCTTATAAGTGTTGCTGCACGAGAATAATAATAATAATAGATAGCATTTTTATAGCGCATATCCCCGCTCAACAGCAGGCTCTATGCGCTTTACACTATATTATGCAACCCAACAAGAAAACCCTTCCCGTGGGCCAAAATTTACGTATTGAGATCTGCACGTATTCTGACCCGAAGTACACTAATAATTTGCCGCATTGAACAATAATTTCGTGCCAATATATTCAACAGCTTCAAAAGTTGTGATGATTTGAATGATGTAGGGCAGGGAAACATACAATGTCGAAAATGGCGTCTAAAGTCAAGATATTTATTTATTTGCCAATCAGACATATTTATGGCTATTTTAGGTTATTGTGAATACAATTATCATTCCTTGGTATAATCACAAATCCATTTACTAACCATGGCGATCTAAAATCCTTCTATGAATGTAGCTTTGCTCATCGTAAATCCAGTGGAGATGGCAATTTGTTAGATTTAGGATTGGGTCAAGAAAATATAAAATAAACATGTTTATACACTGATTTTGCTGATGTTTTTAATTGAAAATAATACAAAAGGCACATAAGTTTACTCTGATTAGGTGGTAGTTTCACTGTTAAATTGTTATTTGTATAGATTTCCTGTTCCAGTAGTGTGAAAATCCCTCCAAAAGTGTAGAATAGGAATAATCACAGTCAAACCAGCCCTGACGACCGTCTGGCCAAGATAATCAACTGTACAAACAACAACTTCCCATTTTCATCCTTGCATTTTTTTTCTTCGTCATAATGACATGATCTTGTCCAAGATGTCCACTTGTCTAAGACGATCACTTTTCTCCTCAACAATGGGTGGCTCTCTTGGAAAAGTTTAGCTCGTTTAATAGTTCAACCATGTCCCATTGTTCTGAAAACATAAAAAAATGAGAATGGCAAAGTAGAATGAAGGTTAATGGGGTTTAACAAGTATCAATGCACTTTAGTAGGACAACAACCTATTTGCTTTTTGACATATTTATTACACTTTAGTATAAGAAGGTTAAAGCCGCCACCCCCTCTCTCGGACAGTTTTATTGTTGTTTTTTTGTTGGAAAAACGTAAGTCTTAGTGATTATTGTAAGAGAGGATAGCACAAACTTAAATAGGGGGAGTCTTCCAGATTTTGTCTTTATGTAAGTTCATGCAGGGGAGAAAACTCAAGAGTTACAACACTGAACAAAATTAAATGAGTTGTCTCACTGTTCTCATCACTCTGAAAGATGGTGAGGGAAAGGGGGGAAGGGAGATGGAGGTTTGGGGTGCCACTGATAGGTCTTACTTTTTTTTTTTTTCTTCTTTCCCTCTGTTTTGTCTGTATATTTGTCTTGTCTTTCTAAGCGCTCAATGACTGACATGGTGCTGATGTACCTCTCTATACTCGAACTGAACCATGAAGTACAATTAAGAAAGTAGTATATTTACGAAGAGTTCTTTATTTTTTCCTCTCTCCATGGGTGCTCTGGTGTGGTTTGCTTCTTCTTTCCTATCAAACATCTATTGTCTTTATCTCCCCTTCTTCATATTTATGTTTGTTACTCTCTTGTAACACCTCTAATCTTCTGGCGCTCATATGACCTTATGCAGTTGCGAGTGCCGTAAAACCTCTACTAAAACTACTTCCTCTGTCCTGTACAGGTTCAGCCCCTGGAATGAGGCAGTTCACCCAGACACGCGTAGACAAATGATTAACTCATCACAGGTGAGTCGGTGAAGGGAGGTGCCTGCACCATGAAAGTTTGGCGGTAGTTTCGGTTGAAAAGTTTCATATTGTTTTTGTCTTATTAAATCTGTGGCTCTCTTCAGACTTTGAAGGCTTTCTTTGTCAGGTATTTTTAGTATGTTCTCCTGCATGTGAAGAGCTGCTTTCTTGTTACTGTCAGTGTTTTTATTTTTTAAAATATGAAACTACGACATGTATTTCTTATACAGTGTACAAATACATTTTGTTGGGTAGTTAATGTGGTAGTTGTAGTTGTGATCTTAGTAGAACTTTATTTTCAGTGTAATGTTATAGCATAGCAATTGCTGGTTTCCGTGTTTTTTTCATTTTTTTCTCCCTTTGTCAACTTGAAGTCTTATTTGTTTCTAATGGCTCTCACATTTATTCACAGTTTTGTTTTTAGACCTCTACAGGGCTATATGAAATTATGTTGATGGTGCCATAAAACACGTACTCAAACAAACAAGGCTAAATGATTGTGGGTAATTGAAGGGTATCATCACAGGGGGCTCTTTCCTTCTCATTTTGAAATTTTGTTTCTCTAATTAGAAAGAATTTTTACAGTTCCAGATGTCTAGCTAATAACGTTCTATTGGTGAAGGTGGCAAATATGATGTGTTGGGATGGAATGTTACTGCAGAGGCTAAGAAGTGGTTCATTTTGTAGTTTTCTGTTTTATGGCTACTCTAAAATAATTTGAATACATGGCAGACCGACACTGTGGGTGCTCAGTCACAGCTGGTGATATAGTGTGACTTAAGGTTACGAAACATTTTTGAATCGTAATACGTTTTGTTGAATGTACACGATAGGCAATTTTTGTGGGATGATTCTTTTGGCATGTTCAAAAAACATACTTCCAGCACACTGATTCTTTCTTGATACAAGAGTTTTCCTCTTGTCTCCATCCAAACCAGGATCCTGACTGACTACTCATAAGAAATGGTAGAGGATGTTCTAGTACTTTTGGGTAATTCTTACTTCTTGCACAAGATGCAATAGACATGCAGTCTCACAATCTTTTGTCTATGCGGTGTAGGGCCCCACGTGTATACAGAGTCAAATCGTAATAATATTCATGTACCTTGAATCTCTGTGAAGGGAAAGCCTTGAACAATTGTTGTCTCTACAGTAACAATGCGCATGAATTGCCTTAACAATGTGGGTTTTATTTGTGTATTGAAACAATTGGTGCTCAGTTTTTGGTTTATTTGGGTATATTATAGTACAGTGCTTTGTAGCCCTGTATTGGTCATTTTTCCTCGAAAAAGAATTCTCTACTGTGTATTACTATTCTTCAGCAATGGTTTGAGGTTACTTTCCTTCATTTGTTTTGTTTTGTTTTTTCTTGTACTTTGGTTTGGTTTGTTTTGCTGGGGTATTAAAGGAGAAGTCGCACTTTTAAACAGCTCTTGGAGCAGGTGCAGTTGTGTTTTGAGTGACACGAAATGAAAAGTTCAAAACAAGTGCATTAGAAATGGAAGTATGGAAGTGATAATTAGTTTTCTATAAATATTTTGATATATGTTTCCTTCCATATGCCTACCATTTTCATTCGTCCATATTGATAGCAAATAGTAGTTATTGGTAGAAAGGTTTCAATGGCAGCCCTTTTTACTTGAACCGTTTCTTCATAGATGAACTGCCAGTCTTTCTCAACATCTACATTGCGTGTAAGACAGATTAGACTGAAGAGCTTTAAGAATAGTATCAATTCAAATGATCTAAATTTTGAACACTTTGAATGACAATATGGTTTATTGAGTGGCAGAGTAACTTGCATCGCAGGATTCAGGGTATAATAGAGAATAAGAGAGTAAGAGAATAAGAAAGTAAGTTTGTTTTAAGGTGCGGCGGGTCCCTTAAAGGTTTTTGAATTGCTTGTGACATTCTTGTGAGTCCCGACCTGTTGTCTCTGTGAATGGTTCTAACATACTATTGTTGCTCTGCATGCCTTATGTTGCCTGGATGTTGGGCAGTTCGGTGGTAAGTGGAGGACTTTCAACAGCGAGTTAAAATTTATTTAATAAGTTACACCCAACAAAGAATACTTTTCTTGCTTTGTTTTTGTCAGTATTTTTTTTTCTTTACTTTTAGAGCAGATGTCAGAAAAGGAAATGATTTGACTTGCTGGTCGATTGGGATAATCAGTCAGGCCATTTTCTTAAATCATGCAACAGAATACAGATTAGATTAAAAGTATATTATACTTTGCTGTTAGGGGGCGTGGGGGCTTTTTTTTTATGCGTTCTCATCTATAAATAGCTTTGGACAAATATGGAGTTTGTGTGACATAAATATCGTCTTTTTTAATGCTAACCCCCACCTTCGTCTGTCTTGGTGTTGATTGTTCTGTTTAGAAGAGAGGTCAAGGCCATTGGGTGAGTACGACAGAAGTAAAGCACCCCTGCCTTGCGATTCCCCCCCTCTATCCCCTACCACCATCACCTTTTTTCCTGGCTTGCCCTAGTCCTGTTGCTTGATGAAAAATAAGGCTTTGCATTTCACAGCTCTTTGTCCTCTCCTGACTGCAAGAAGAAAACTGAGGATCTATGGTCATTATATGGAGCCCATTCATGACTAGGGACAAATGAGTGGATAATGATAATAATCATTCTTTCTTTCTTAACCTGTCATGTTTATTTTTAGTTTGAAGAAACTGCGCAACTGAATACACAAATTACATGTACATGAAAATGATATTGTACTTTGCTAGGGGGGGGGGGAGCTTTTTCCTTCGTGTTCCCATCTGTTCATAAGTCAATCATAACAAATTCCAGTGCAAAGACATTGACAAGGAAAGTTTCGTTGAAAATGGGGTGGGGGGGGGGGCACTGTGGCTTTTCTTACCTTAGATTTAGTTGATTGTAAAACATTCTCTAATGGAGCTTGATAAATTTATGTATTGTCAATGTACTTTGATTAAAGCCAAAGTTAACGTTATATATATATATTTTTTTTTAATTGAAAAGAACTGTCCTTATTTCATGTTTTTTTTTTTATCTCAGGCCAAAATATCTTTTTGATAACTTGGAAATTTTCTGCTTCGTTTCCTTTTTACATGATCCACGGCCATTGCACAAGGAATGCTGTAATGGACTGGTTTGATTTTGGCCTGAGTCTAAAGAATTATCATAGAACATTTGCAATGTTTCGTCGCGGCACACTGACGATATATCATCTCTGGTTGCTTCTTGAATTGTTGCTTCATGGAAGTGCACTTAAGGATCTTTTCTTTTTTCGAGCTTTTATGCCTCTGTTACGAAGTCCCTCTTCAGCTTTACCTCTCATGATAGATTTTTGTATCCTTCATAACTCTTGCTTTTTACCTTCCTAATAATTTTCTATCATGCACCCAGGAAATCATGAAATGCCCCCTTTAAGGTTGTTCACAAGACTAGTTTTTCTTGTGTTATCAAAATACATTTTGTGAAGTATAATTTTTTTCTAAATATGTGCTTAGTAATTTAGGCTCTTGCTCTCTCTTCGTCTTTGTTGCCTTTTCTCACTCTCTCTCTCGCTCTCTCTCTCCCCCCACCTCCCCCCCCCCCCCCCTCTCTCTCTCTCTCTCTCTCTCTCTCTCTCTCTCTCTCTCTCTCTCACACACACACACACACACGCACGCACAGCTGTAATGGTCAGGATGAAAAGTATGTCCCAAGTTTCCGTCTCTCTCTCTCTCTCTCTCTCTCTCTCTCTCACACACACACACACACACACACACACACACACGTGCACGCACGCACAGCTGCAATGGTCAGGATGAAAAGTATGTCCCAAGTTTCCGTCTCCTCTTCACACCGACTTAACATAACCATTCCTCCACCTATCTCTTAACACTACGTGATACACTTTACATGTCAATGGTCAGCTTTTAAGAATTATTTTTTGTGGTCCACTTCTTATTTTTGTTAATCTTTTCAATGTTTTGGGGTGGGTTTTTTTCGTCCGTGACTTATTACAAGCACAATTAGAAATAAAGATAAATGTAGTAGTGTGGCTGGTACTCAAAGTCAGCACTTACTTTTTTTTTTAGTGTAGAGTTTTAAAATTAAAACCTTAAAACCTAAATGAAAATGTATCCTCTCCTTCCTCCAGTCTGCAAAAGTGACGTTTAAACACCTAGTGCTTTTTAAGTTTTCCTTTTTTATATTCTTTTCTTATTCTACTTGGTTTTTCTTTGCTCCCCCCCCCCCCCCCCGAGGTAGTGCCACTGACTGTAGTGTCTTTAGGCCATTCCCAAAGGGGGGATATTTCTCGTTCAAGCACAGTAGAATTGTAAATGGGCTGATTCATGTCACGCTCATAACTGTGCCTGATCTGCAACAGGGAACTGCTGCTTTTTCTTTCCTAATCCTTACTATTGTCATTTTGCCTCTACTTCTTTTGTATGTTTGTCACTCTCTTGTGACCTGCTGTTTTTGGGGTGCCTTGATAGTCGAAGCAGACCTTGTGCTGTTGAAGCTAGAGAGGTGAGCAGAATAAGTCTAACTCCCTGTAAGGACTTCTCTGTTGACAGCCACCCCTTGGCGCTCATATGACCTTATGCGGTTGCAACCTTCTATTATTTAAAAAAGAAAAAATTTCTTTGCTTAATAGAAACAGAACAGTTTTCACTTCAGCTTTTTTGTTTGAAATCGAACATTGAGTCTGCATTCTTAGTAATCGTAGTGCTTGCTCTTTCAGCATGCTTTATATCTCTATGTGAAATACCTGCAAATGCAAAAAGCACAGAGAGTATTATGTAACTTTTTAAACATTGTTTTTTTCTTCCTCGGAGACTTTAGCAAACAGATATGTGTTCTGCTCTTGTTGTTTGTGTCCAACACAGTTATTTGAGTTGTGTTGTTTGCTGCTAAAAAGGGATTTTTTATTTTTTTGTTGTTCAGTTTAGTTTATAACGTATTATTAAAAATTGTAGTTTTGGATGTACATTTTCTTATGCGTAATATGAGAAGTTAAATGAGGGCTTCTTCTGGTTGTATACAAAACTGTCTCTGTTCTTGTGCGTTGTTTGCTGTATTTGTACAAAAAGTAACTTCTGAAAGAAAAGAGACTTGGTGAATAGAATACAATGGGAACTAATATGTGGTGTTTTAAATAATGTGCAATGTGTCGATAGCTTGTGAATCTTTATAGCAGTAGCTCTGTTTACCTTTGTCCACTCTCCTTTTTGCATGCTTTGCTAGTCCATTTGACTTATCAAATTTTCTGGAGGAAGTGCGTAGTATAGCTTCCAAAATTGTCTTATTGTTGTAGCTACTATTTCTTTCACCACTGCTATAGATTGAGCCATATGTTTGAAAAATTTTTTTTCTACTTTTGTTTGCATCGTCAGTGTTTTAGCTTCTGTTTTTTCCTTGCAGATGGTTGGTGCAACCGGTTCTTTTCCTCTTCTCTGTCGTCTCTTGCCTGTTTGTCTTACGTTTCCCCTGCGGTAAACGATCGTTATTGTGTGGATGTGCTTCTCTCTACTCAAACAAGCTGTGCACTGAATATTTCTATCCCTTTTTTCTCGTCTCTGGTGCTGGTGGTTTGTGTGCACGCGCTTATCAACTGCTTCATGGGAAAACCCCACCATACGCCATGTTGAAAACATGATGTGTAATGGATGCTTTCTTTGAGCAGCTGATGTGATCTGCTGTAACCTCTTCCTCTTGTGAAACCTTTTCTTATTCAGCTTCATGTCAACAGTTTACAGCATAGCTTTCCCACTGTCAGACCAGTGAGAAACTGCTTACCCCTCAAAATGTACATGCCATCTATTGATATCTCTTCTTTTTTACTTTGACTTTTTTGAGCCATTGTTTCATATTTTGCTGATGCTTAAATTGAAACTCATATCTCTGTGCTTGTTGGTTTTTACGTGGTGTCCTTCGGCATTCTCACCTGACCACAACGGTGTCGATGGGGATGTAAAAAACATTTACATTAGAAAAGGAACATACAAACCCCCCAACCCCCCCCACCCCCCACCCCCCACCCCCCACCCCCCCCCCACCCCACACACACACACACACATACACACACACACACACCAACACCCGTACCAATTTCATTGCATACCGGCTTTGTCTTTGCTATTTTCATCTCACCTGGCCAGACATCAGCACCTAACATTCTTGCTTTTTGTTTGTACAATATCTATCCTCGTCTCAGTATTCAAAGTGTTTTGCTGGGGTTGTTGGGCTGTAAGTTATGCAGTCCCCTTCCTTGTTTTACAAGTTCCTGCTGTCTTAATCCTGTCGTAATCTGTGTGGATGGTAGGAAGGCTCTCTTGGTTTGCTGTTCTTTTTACCCCCCCCCCCCCCCCCCTCAACACACACTCTCCCCCCCCCCCCCCCCTCTGTTCTTTCTGTCTGTTTGTCCTGCTTTCCCCTAGAACTAAACGACTGTTTTTATGTTGATCGATATAATGCTTCTCTTTTCTGAAACAGTCAGTTTATATAGATAGTTGCTGTGCAGAATTATAGCAGACTGCAGCTCCATAGCATGTGCCTTGTGTCTGTGGTCAACTGAATTGTTTGCACTTTAGCTGTTTAAAGGGTACATGTACATGGGTGGTTGGTGAGTGCTCTGGTGTGGTTTGCTCCTTCTTTTCTATCAAACATCTATCGTCCTTATCTCTTCTCTTTCTTTTACTTGTATGTTACTCGATAGTAACGCCTCTAATCTTTTGCACTTATGCTACTTATTTGTGTTACAAGTTCCGAAAAACACTTACTTAAACGAAGAGTAGGGCTTTGGGGCTCTCTCTCACTTCAAGGTCTTGTGAAATATGGTTTTTCCAGTGGACATGATATTACTTGGGTGATATCAGTTCTAGTCAGTTGAGAGAGAGAAAAGAGAATGCAACATGTGTTCATTTAATGATGATGGATCTTTTCTACTCTTTTCAAATGTCCTGCTAAAAAAATCTTCTAGTTGGGAATGCCATATCTGTCTAGACCGTTGTCTGTGGTATAAAGGTTAAGTGTGGGTGGTTGGCGGGTGCTCTGGTGTGGTTTACTCCTTCTTTCCTATCAAACATCTATCCTCTTTATCTCCCCTTCTTCTTTTTTATGTTTGTTACTCTCTTGTAACACCTCTAATCTTCTGGCGCTCATATGACCTTTTGCAGTTGCGAACGCCGTAAAACCTCTACTAAAAACTTAAATAAAAGCTAAAGGTTAAGTGCTTTGTCGTCCCATGCAGGAAACGTACATGTGATTCCTGTGTGGGGAGGTTTTTAAAAAATTGAATATCTCTGTCCATCTCGTCTGCTGGGATGTTGTATCCCTTGTAGCCCGGGTTGACTCAGACAGGCAAGATCAAAGCAACCTACCTCCTAAATAATCTGAAATTGAGTTGATGAGGGCTTGAAACACCTGCAGTTACAATAGTTACTGCATATCTATGGGTGGTTGGAGGGTGCTGTTGGTAGGCCTCGCTTCTTTCCCATTATATCTATTGGATGTTTCTCTGTCTTGTCCTTTCCAGGGATAAAATTTTGCATCCAGTACATTTGTACTGGGTGTTGTTGAACAAAGAATGACCCATGTGTGTGTAGTGTATGGGGTTGGCAGAAGTCTATTTCCTGTGTGGGGAAAATTTATTATTGAGTATCTCAGGTCTTTCTGTGTTGTGTCCTTCTCAGCCCAGGCTGGCCACGACAAGCAGGGTCGAAACCCACCTCCTAGATGATCTAAATTGTGTCGATAGGGGCTTAAGATGTCTACATTTTTTAAAAAAAGAGAGCGGGGATGTTTGAGTTTCCATGGCTTTCCAATCTCTCGGTTTAATTCTGTCGAGGTTGGACGTTAGTTCCTGCATTTTGGTTATATTTATAACCTCATTGTGTACAAAGTGATAATAGGCCCGTATATTACGTAGCACTAGTACAGTACCATATTGATTTGGGTTTTGTTGTTGATTTCATTTTAATTTACAGGTGGTTAGAGGGCACCACTGCCACTGGAAGTTCTTACTTTTTTGCTTTCTCTCTGTTGTTTCTGTCTGTCTGTCTGTCTGTCTTACTTTCCCCCCGCACTAAATGACCATTATTGTGTCGATGTGCTTCTCTTTACTCACACAAACAAACAAAACATTGTTTTAGTTTGTTGGTTTTAGGTAGGGGGAGGGGGAATGAAGTGATGGAAATTAAGGACTCGAATAAAATGTCTAATCAATGTGACCTTCCCGTCTTTTCTCCAGAGGCAGTCAAGTGATGCTGGCTCAGCCAACCCTTCTGACCTTGGTTTATCCTGGATGGAAGCGGGACAGACCAAGATCTTCAGCCGGGACGATGCGAGCTCAGCATAGTGTGTGTGATGTGTGGAGAAAGAGGCTGACCCTGATATTCCCCAACCCCCCCCCTCACAGAATCAAATGTTTGTTTATGAGGGTGAAAGTGTTCCTGGCTGTGAATGTGGTGATGTGAAACTCTGCTTGCTTGTCGTCGTCGGCTGATTGTGGTGGGATATGATGGGGTCATGTCGAATGAACTTATGATGACCTGTGTTAAATAGCAATTGTGTAAACTAGAATAGTGTTGAGGTACTTGGGACAAATGGAAAAAGGCCCCTGCTAGTTCAGAAGTTTGTGTTAAGTTCGGTTGTTATATGTGACCGTTATCTTATAAATGTCTAATATCTCACTGATGAAAAGTACGACATGTTAGACGTTTCAACCCAGCTGGTCACCTTTCTTATATATGTTTTATGAGATTTCTCCCTAGGATGCCGCTAGTTATAAAATTATAGATATATGTATCATAGTAATAGAAATAATAAAAGTTTGTTTGCTTAGCTTCCATTCCAACAGGGCTCAAGGTACCTTAAGTTCTCCAGGACATAACTAGTCATTTCGTAAGATATTACTATCCTACTGCATGGAAGTGAAGCCCTGCAGTTATACACTCACATTCCCTCACTACCCCCCCCCCCCTTTGTTTTTCCCTCCTTTCCTCCCTCCCTCCCTTACACACGTGCACAGACACATATGCAGATATTTTGCATATTGGCGACTTTAACTTAGCGTAGATATTTAGCATGCTCCCGAAATAGAGTTGGTGCACTTGTAACAATAATTACATTTTGTTTAAAAGAAAAACTTTCTGTTGCAGCATTTGGTCCGTGAACAGCACAAATTGATTATGTGGTACTGTTATACTTATAGCATACCTGTATGCTTCCCGGGAAGCTGAGAATGTTTCGGAGTGTTCTATGGTCTGCTGGGGTAATAATATAGTGTAAAGCGCATAGAGCCTGCTGCTGAGCGGGGATATGCGCTATACAAATGCTATCTATTATTATTATTATTATTATTATAGGTGCTTCAATTTTTTTCTGTTATGGGAACAGGAAAAATAAAAAGATTTCTTGTCGGGTCTCCTTCGTCACAAACATATGCTGGCAGAAGAGGTATATGGTGACCATAATTTGGACAATGTTTTGGTATACTGTATATATATTCGCCTATGATATGAGGGATTTTTTGCAAAAATTGTGTCCCAAAAGTTTCCCCCTCCCTGAATTATACAAGAGACGTACAGCTGGGATTGGGGGCCAACAGAGGGGAAGTAATGACGAATAGGATTTTTCAAATGCCGAGACCAAAGAAAGCAAGGAGAACATGCTAAACAGCCTACGAAAATTGAAAGAAAGACTTCACTGGGTGGACTTTTGCAGTCTCAGCACAACAACCCACAGTTCTTAAAGGTAAAAACGCTATGTTTGATGCCTGACTTTTACTCGATTCCACCCTTGATGAGCCCCCACTTGCATGTCAGAACTTCACCCCTTATTATATGTACGACCTACAAAAATGGGCCTATTTTGGAGTCAAAAGTATACCCTTCCGTATTATACACGAGGCCGTGTTATAGGTGAGTCTGTACCGTTGCTTTGTTTGGAAATCGAAGTAGAAGCGGCAGGGAGAAAAGATCTGGTGTTTTTACTTGATTTTTATTTATTTATTAATTAATTTTTTTTTTCAAATTTAGTGTTTAACAAATTGAATGGCTTTTTCTGTCTCATCTAGTTTTTTATTTCCCCAAATCTAGCTTTTTTTCTGGATGAATGAGAGTCAACTCTTGCATGACTCCCAGGGACTGTCTGTGCGACTTCTGTGATATGTTAGTATTGTGAGGGACAAGAATTGTATGTCATTTATAAGGTGTGGAGGGGGTTGGGGTGTCTGTTCCCCCCCCCCCCCCCCCCCCCCCCCCCCTCTCTCTCTCTCTCTCTCTCTCTCTCTCTCTCTCTCTCTCTCTCTCTCTCTCTCTCTCTTTCCCCCCCCTGGAATTTGATGTTTAAATAGGCATGTGTGAAAGTGACACTGTGCTTGAGGGGAAGTGTGGAACACATACACTTATCGGTTACTGTGTTGCTTCTCTTTTAACTCAAATTGGGTACTTTGTACAAAAACGAAATGATTTCCGCGTCCCTCCGATTTCGCTACGTGTGTGCTAGACTGTAGTAGGAAAGTATTTGTCCTGGTTAACATTACAGACTGGATCTGCACACATTTCCTTTGCTTTCATATGCAGTGCATTTCGCTCATCTTGGCTGTTATACAATTTAGTAAAAGGAGAAGTGTACATGTTTGGTCACAGATATTTTGCCACTACCTTAGAATAACAAAGTTCTGACATTTTTGTCTGTTTTGAGTTACTTTGACCATGAGGTCAGAAACTGAATGTTCTATCTGCTCTATCAAAATCGTATGATTATTTGGAGTCGTTTCATTATCAAGATATTCTAAGAATTGCTTTTGAAAAAGCTTGACATGTTGTGAAACTCAAAATTTTTCATTTCAAATTTTCTCAAAACTGAGTGCTGAGTAGATAAAACTATGTAATTCCAGGGTAGCAATTTACATCATGTAAGCACTTCGGTTTTAGTACAAGAGTTTATTGAGAAATTCTCTTAGAACTTGATCTAATAGTGTTGGTTATTACTATTACTGACTGCTATGAATGAATCATGAATTTATTAAAAAGTTAATTTGTCTTTAACAGTGTAGTCCTTTTTTGTTATTATTATTAACATGGCTTTGTTTTATTAACATAGGACCATTAAGAGATTTTACTGGGTTTTTGTTCTGTGAGTTACCAGGGTTTATGCACTTGGAACCAGAATTTAGTCTTTTTTGGGGGGCTTTTGGATTTGTATACCATAGAGTGACTGTCGTGGCGAAACTAATGATAATATGTGTTCTTTTCTGTATGTGAAAATGAATTCTTTGATTTATGACATGTATATATATGTTGAGAAGATTGTGTTTGAATTTAAAGGGTGCCTAGGTTGAAAAAACGTGTTCATGCCTGTACAAATGAGCTTAGTCTGCTTTTATTCCTAATGAATATGCCAATCTTTCCATTGTATTTGTGTGAAGATGTGTGCTTTTGCCTGTGTTGATCTCAGTGGTGTCTTTGAATGGAATGCAAGCAAATGAACATTTGATGCATTTTCTTCTCACTTGAGACTTATTACATGATCACAGTTTATGTGCATGTCGCAACCTTTCTCCTATTTTCTTTTTCAGCCCTCCTTGACCTCCCCCCCCCTACCCTGTATTCTCTCCTCCTCCATACCCTCTCCTTCTCATCTGTACCTCCCCTGTCGTTGTATAAATTCCTTGCATTTATATAGGGCTGATTGTTATATCTAGCACTTGCATCCAAAATCAAAAGGTTATTGCACTGCTCTACGCCAGCATAGAGCTAGGGTTGGTTAAGTGATGATGGCCATTTGTTGGTGGACACATTATTTAGGTATAGTTTCACTTCTTGTATACTGTAATAAATAATAATGCTTTTGCTTCTTTTTTTTTTGTCAAATGGTGATCAGTTTGTTGGTATAAGTATAAGTTAGTTCTCAAATAGCCATTTTCAACCCTCTGCATTTATCAAATCCAGTTTTCATATCAGAGTCACTCGTTTACTAAAGGACCCATATTTAATCCTGAAAGGAAACCGCATTAACTTAAAGATATTATTCAAGTCGTATAATCTTATTTAAAGATCACTTTGTTTGTAGCTTTCATACTTGTTTCTTTTTTTTTAATGGTTAGTGTGTGCTTGAGTGTCTTTTTTAAGCTCGAAAAGTGAATTTCATTGTGCTGCAACATGTTCTAATTCCACTGAGTTTGAGTTTTACATTGTTTTCCAATAATGGACAGCTAACTTGAGAATGGGACATCTCATTGTACAAAAACCTGACATGGAATTTTTGTTGTTGGTTGTATTCACATAAAGAGGACAGGGTTTGTGAGTTGAGCTTGTGATGTTACTGCTGCAGGAGTTTGGTATGAATATTTGTTTGGTACTTAGATTGGAATTGTGCCGTGAGTCAAAAAGGGGTTACAGTTGGGGAAAAATGGTTGCCATGTAAAAGGGGAGCTCATATTTTTCTCTGTAGTGACTATGTCACGGGCTCTGGATATATTTGATGTAAACGTGTGATCCTGGATGTGCGGGATATGTGCAGAGAATGCTACTGACTGTTGTATGTAAAGAGAAAGCTACATGTATATAATGACTAAGGTATGGGTAGAAAAAGCTTGTATATGACTGATATTATGTAGAGAAAGCTACATGACTGAGGTATGTGAAGCAAAAAGGCAAACGACTGAGTTATGTGTAGAGAAAACTACATGACTGAGATACCGGTATGTGTAGAGAAAGCTGCATGACTGAGATATGTGTAGACAAAGTTATATAATATATGACAAGATGTGTTTAGAGAATGTTATTGGCCAATATGACTGAATGATTAGTAGGGCAAAAAGGAAAAAGTGTATGTTTATTTGTCTTGGTTGTGCAGGCTCCTGGTTCTACTATATGTACTTTCTCTTTTTTTTAAGTTTCCTTAGGTTAGGTTGTGATGCGGGTAATTGACTCGAGGTTTGAATCCCCAATGGATACCTGAACAAAGTATTATTATGTTTATTTGAGGTTTTGGCTCTCCACCTTTCTGGCTTGTGGGTGGTTTGCGGGTGCTCCCTCTTTCCTATCAAACATCAATAGTCTTTTTATATCACCTGTTTCTTTTATTTGTATGTTACCATCGGGTAACACCTCTAATCTTCGGCACTTTTACACTTCTATGACCTAATTGTGTTGCAAATGCCGTACAACCCTTACAAAAACTTTTTAAAAGCCTTCTGGCGTAGTCCTTTTAGTTGGAGGGTGTTGTTAGATCTGAGGTCCTGCCTCCCATGTGACTTTTGTGTGTTGAGACAAGCATTACACATTAAGTTGATTAACCATACCTTGCCATTCTGAATCAGGTTTTGCAAGTTTAGTTATGCAATGTGGCTGTAAGTTGGTTTATCAAGATGTGTGTGGGTGGAGGTCCCTCTTCGGGCAAGCTGTTGTGATTCTGTTGACTTGAAATTGAAAGAAGAGCTTATTTATTTATATAAATTTCATGAGAGTTGGAAGTGTTGTGCACGAGAATCTTGCAATTGAATAGAAGATGTCACTGGTAGGTCCTTCTTGTTTACTTTCCCTCTGTTCGTTTCTGTCCATCTGTCTGTCTGTCGTGCTTTACCCCTGCGCTGAGTGACCTTTGTTGTGTAAAATTGCTTCTCGTAACTCTTAAACTCAACTCTAAGGCAAGAGAGCCTGTCAGTGTCACAAGTAGAGACAAAATGTGATGTGGTGGCGGGTTTCTGACGCGTTTTGCGTCTGTGACTTCAGCATGAAAGTTTCATAGTCCTATACATGTATATTATATCGTCGTCTCGGAACTATTTGGTACAAAGTGCACTCTATAGCTATGTGCTTTTTGGACAAAATAGCTCTGAGGCGATGATATATTTCAAAGAGGCGTTTTGCTGCTCCTGCCACGATGTGCTCCTGTTTGTTAATGACGTCGGAATTAGTTAATTTTATATCATGTATTATTGACTGTATCTTTGACAGTAACGCTTGTCATTTAACAGAAAAACATATATATGCCAAAGATGAAATTTTACAAGAAAGGCAAAAAAACTAACTTTTTATGTGTGTTCCAAATTAATTTAAATAAAATTTGGTCGATCTGATTATTTTATATCAATATTCACTGGCCACTATAACTTTTGTCAGATTTGCTGAGATAAAT